TCTCTCAGGATATGGACACCTAGGTATTTGATTGCATAAGACTACATAAGTAAAAAGGGAAGCTGACTTGCAACTGGGATTGGATTCAAGAAGGAAGGGATATTTTTAAAGCTTCTGCTGCATCATAATTTATTTTAAGGTCTCTTAAAAAGCCACATTTTTCAAATTCCTTCAGAATGAGTGGAATGGAAATAATCAAGGAGGTGACAGAGAATAGTATGTCATTGATGCCATGTATGTCAGGCTGTGGGGGGAGGGCAGTGTGTTAGTCACAAATGAAACAGGATTTAGTCAGGAGAAGGAAAGGAAGAATTGTGCATCGCATACTACCTGGATTTGCTTGTCTAGACTGTCATACAGGAGGCTTTACTTGTATTTTTAAGACTTTACTTTGTGAACTGCTTTGACTTTCAGTAGCCTCATGAGCACCCTTAAGAACCCCGATACCTAGGGAGCAATAAAAAGCAAATCCATCTTCTCCTGGGGAAGCTGAGTGTTATCCATGCTCCCCTAGTAGGGTTGCCACCTGTCTGGGATTCACCTGGACAGTCCGGTTTTTGAGTCGTGTCCGGGTTTCAAGCCAGCTGATACCCGGATACAAGACACAAAGCGCCGATATCGGCACTTTACATTTTTGACAGATGCGGCACCTGAGGTCCCCAGCAAGCGCAGGGACCTCAGACAAGGCCCCCACACTTCCAACACAGCACTCTTGAAAGCCTGCATAGACCACCTGAGACCCCACACAACCATCTGGGAACCCGCATAGCCCACCTGAGACCCCACATAGCCATCTGAGAACTCGCATAGCCCACCTGAGACTCCACGTAGCCATCTGAGAACCAGTATAGCCCACCTGAGACTCCACATAGCCATCTGAGAGCGCGCATAGCACACCTGAGACCCCACACAGTCATTTGAGAGTGCCAAGAGTCCACAGAGTCACCTGAGAGTCTGCATAGCCCACCTGAGACCCCACACTGCCACCTGAGAGCACGCACAGGCCACCTGAGACACTGGAGACATCAGGGCACCACCCCGGAACAACACTGAGTATGTAGTTTCATATTATTTGAATTGCTGTATAATGTATTGCTGGGATTTGAATTCCTCTATAGCCGGTCTCCTTACTCCCTCCCCTGGCTGTCTCTTCTTGCAATTCCCTAGTGACCCATCACTGTAATCACATCACTGACCAACAGAGAGAAACAGTATGTGAGAGGTGCCAGTACTCAATTGTGGCAGAGAATTTGGGGATTACAGTATTGGAGCATCTGGGGTTTCCGGGTTGCTCATGATACTGTTGAAGGGTACATTCAGCTACTTCTGTGCAGTAGCAAACCAGTTTTTTATCATTTACAAAGTGACCGACAAAGAATTATATTAAGTTATTTAGGTTTTTAAACTGTTTTAAATCTTTTTATTTATAATTATAAAAAAATTATATAAAAATAATATATATTTATTTATATAAAATCTTTATTTTACCAATAAAAATGTAATATATGGTGTATGCATAACACAGAAGCATTGGTTGGCAGCCGGCAATCACTTAAATAAAAGACGCTCTTAAATGAACGTCTGAAAACGTCCAACAAGGGCAATCAGCTTTTTGGCTGGAATCCATCATCAGCCTTGGGCATTTCAAAAAATCTTTTTATTATAATTATAAAAAAATTATATAAAAATAATATATATTTATTTATATAAAATCTTTATTTTACCAATAAAAATGTAATATATGGTGTATGCATAACACAGAAGCATTGGTTGGCAGCCGGCAATCACTTAAATAAAAGACGCTCTTAAATGAACGTCTGAAAACGTCCAACAAGGGCAATCAGCTTTTTGGCTGGAATCCATCATCAGCCTTGGGCATTTCAAATGATTGTACAAAAAAAAAACAAAAAAAAAACCTTTTTGTCACTAATGTCCATGGGCACCTTTAGAGAGTCACTGATCCAGAACAGTTACATAACTGCTAAAGTCAGGTCTTCTGCCCCATATACTTGTTTTGGAGTCAATGACTTCATGGAAACTCAAGGATGACAGCTCAGAGCTGGTACCCTTAAACAATTATTCCAGTCAAAATATGGTGGAGAAATAACATGACCCATGTGAGGTTTTTATTCTTTTGTGCATCATGTCCTGTCTTGGTGACAGCGGGTCAGAGGGACAAGAAGTACAGCTTTGTTCTCTTCTTGTCCTGGTGACCATTTTCAATCCCAAAACTGAAAAAATAAAAAGAAAGGTTGGTTGGAGTTGGGCTATAAAAACAAGTTGGCATTGGCATATTTCTGTTTTTTCAGGTTCATGTCAACAAATAAAGAACAAGTATTAGGGGGAACATTACAGTGTGTGTTGTCATAGAAGAGGATTCAGGACTTCTCTGACAAGGGAGAAAACGCACATGCTGAAATATCAGCCGCTGATAATTGTTTATTCTCCTTGACATTAACTATAACCCCTCTCACTACTGCACGCACAATACCTGATCTAGAGTGCAGGAAAATGACTGCAGCATTGATGTTTCCTGCAATGTAAGGGGGGGGAAAGAGAGGAAATGTGAGAGAGAAAGGCGCGGTAGAAGAGACACAGGGAGGAGAGACAGAGAGAGGCAGGGTGGGAAAAAAAAAAGAGAGTGAGAGGTAAAAAGATAAAAGAGAGGGTAGAGTAAATTAAAACCACAGAGGAGAGGCGAAGAGTGCATTTCTTCAGAGAGAGAGGGAGAGGGAGACAGACACAAAAATTAAAGTGAAGAAAAAAGTTGAAAGAACGGAGAGCATGTGAAAGAGATAACTAGGGTGTAAGAGATCAAAAGAAGAGAACCAAACATAAAGAGAGAGTGTGTGAGTGTGAGAGAAAGAGATAGAGAGAGAGAGAGAGAGAGAGAGAGAGATGTGGAGAAAGGACTGAGGACTGAGAAAGAAAAGCTGAACGTGGTTGCACAAGGAGGGAATAAGAATTATAAAGAATGGAAAAAGAAGGTAGAGTGATACAAAGAAATGAGGATGAGTATGAGTGATACAAAGAAAAGGATGAGAGAAAGGGTAAAAGGTGAGAAGAAAGAAATGCAGGAGAAAAAGAAGATGAAGTGAATGTGAACCGTATACAGGGAGATTATAAAATGTTATACCACAAGAAATATTTTTGTAGAAAGGTAGAATGTGAGACTGTATGAGAGAGCAAAGAAAGGGTATCCTTGTATTGAGAGAGTAATACAATGAAAGAATGGACTATACACAGAGGCTTAAAGGGTGAAAACCATGACAGAGGGATTGAGAAAGGAAAATAAAACGAGGGAGAGAGAAAAGGAAGACAAACAATATTACAGTGAAAGAATACATTATACTACAAGCTGTGCTCACAGAGAAAGAAAAGAGTGACAGAGAGAGGGAAAGAGAGGGATAGAGGCAAGGATACAAGATACGGGAGAGAGAGAGAGACAAAGAGAGGGAGGAAGAGAGAAGGATACGTGACAAGTAAAAGGAGAGAGAGACAGAGATATAGGAACAGAGGGAGCAGATGTGTGTGTGTGTGTGTGTGAGTGTGAGTGAGAGAGAGAGAGAGAGAGAGAGAGAGAGAGAGAGAGAGAGAGAGAGAGAGACAGAAAGAGGAGAAGAGACAGAGGAACAGATGGTGATAGAGAGGGAAGAGACAGAGGAACAGATGGTGATAGATAGAGGAGAAGAGACATAGAGGAACAGAGGGTGAGAGATAGAGAGAGGGGAGAAGGGACAGAGTTAGAGGAACTGAGGGTGAGAGATAGAGAGAGGGGAGAAGGGACAGAGTTAGAGGAACTGAGGGTGAGAGATAGAGAGAGGGGAGAAGGGACAGAGTTAGAGGAACTGAGGGTGAGAGATAGAGAGAGGGGAGAAGGGACAGAGTTAGAGGAACTGAGGGAGAAACAGAGGGGGAGAGATGGAGAGAGAGAGGGAAAGGGAGGAGGAGAAGAGATGTACATAGAGGAAAAGAAGGTGAGAGAGATAGGAGAGGAGACAGAGAAAGGGAGGGTGAGAGATAGAGGGAGAGAGGAGAAGGGACAGAGTTAGAGGAACAGAGGGTGAGAGGGAGGAGAAAGGGAACAGACAAAGAGAGGGGGAGAGACAGAAAAGCAGAAGGTGAGAGACAGATGGGAAGATATAGAAAGGTACAGAGTGTGCAAGAGAGATAGGTGGAGGAACAACTGCGAGAAATGCAGAAAAACTGTAAAGTAAAGTGGAAGTAGTACAAAGAAAGTCGGCAGTCACAGAGACAGCAGCAGAACAGTGAAGACACTGACTCAGAGCACTGAGCTCTTACAGACACCGACAATATTAAGGGCTGAGAAGTCCCTCACACAGCTGCACTGAGCGCTCAGGAAAAACACAAATATCAGCGGTGGGTACTTAGTACAGAGAGCGATCACAGATGACCAGCAGCACCAAACGCTCAGGACACAGTGCGCTAGTCAGGACACAGACATCGGGCATCACTGTGCGCCAGTCAGGACACAGGCACCGAGCATCACTGAGCGCTCAGGACACAGGCACCGGGCATCACTGAGCGCTCAGGACACAGGCACCGGGCATCACTGAGCGCTCAGGACACAGGCACCGGGCATCACTGAGCGCTCAGGACACAGGCACCGGGCATCACTGAGTGCTCTGGACACAGACACCGGGCATCACTGAGTGCTCAGGACACAGGCACCGGGCATCACTGAGTGCTCAGGACACAGGCACCGGACATCAGTGAGTGCTCAGGACACAGACACCGGGCATCACTGAGCGCTCAGGACACAGACACCGGGCATCACTGAGCGCTCAGAACACAGACACCGGGCATCACTGAGCCCTGACATACAGCAGCAGAGACGCAGCATCACTCACTGTAGGGAGCAGCAGTGACAGTGTGGCGGGGGAGGAATCTTGAGTGGGTAGAAGAGGCAGGTTCTGTCAATGAAGACATTAGACGAGTATGGACCCGCGGAGGGACTGGTACACACTGAAGAGAAGGACGCCAATTAGCAGCATCCTCAGTCTCAGCAGATTGCTTGCTCTCTAAGAGTTGTAGTATTTGAGTGATGAAAAGTCTGCAGTGACTGGAGAAGACCTGAGATCCAGCTCTGTTGAGTCCCTTGTTTGGGGGTTCCACCTTGAGCTGCTCCTAAGATGAACCCTGGCTCTGCAGGGCAAATATTGCACCAGCCACCGATCATGCGTGTTAACGCAACTCCACAGGTGCCTCTCTTCCAGGAGGTGCAGGAGTCATGGCTGTCCAGCACTTCGGTCATGATGAACCTGTCCAACGTCAGCACCAGGCATGTCACCGCTGAGGGCGACCTGGATGTCAACACGGACATCTACTCCAAAGTCCTGGTCACGGTCATCTACCTGTTCCTCTTCGTGGTGGGCTGTACTGGCAACTCCATCACTGCCTACACATTGGTGAGGAAAAAGTCCCTGCAGAACTTGCAAAGCACTGTCCACTACCACTTGGCCAGCTTGGCCCTTTCCGACCTCCTAATACTTCTCCTCAGCATGCCCATAGAGACTTACAACTTCATCTGGGTCCACCATCCCTGGGCCTTTGGCAACGTAGTGTGCAAGGGCTACTACTTCCTGAGGGATGCTTGCACTTATGCCACTGCCTTGAACATTGCCAGCCTCAGCATGGAGAGGTACATGGCCATGTGTCACCCTTTTAAGGCCAAAAGCATCATGTCAAGGAGCAGGACTAAGAAATTCATCAGTTGCATCTGGGTGGCCTCCTTGCTGTTGGCAATGCCGATGATTTTCACCATGGGGGAGATCTATGGGTTAGGGGTGGAAGATCCGGATCAGCTGGTCTGCACCAGGATTGTGGAGATGTCCACCTTCAAAACTGTCATTCAGGTGAGTGCTGGTGACTGTGTGGTCTGCCTTTTGTCATGTGAATGTGTAGATAATCTGGGTTATTGCAGAGTGAGCCCATTAAAACTGATATATATATATAGTTGGGTGATGGTGGGTTTAATCAACAACTATCTTCATATGTCTCCAGAGGACTCCGGGGATGGCTTCTCTGCCAACATTGCAGGCTCTGAAGCCATGGGGTCTGTCTCCACCTGTTGTACTCTAAGATGTCATATCCAACTAGGAGTGGAAAAGCCCTACCTGCAGAAATGTATCTGCTGGCATCCACCAAAATAAGATGGCAGTGCATGAGACAACCCCATCAAGAAGAACCCAATATTCTAGCTTTGGGATAAATACCCCCCTAAATCGCTCAGACCTAAGAGCGGTGGTGGTGATGTCCAAAATACAATAACCAAAAGCAGCATGATTTCTGTCTGCTACAAATGGACAATGGATTGTTGCCTGCTGATTGGTTGCTATGTTTTACAACACTCATTCCCTTTTAAGTATGTGCAGCTAATATATTCCCTTTTCGGTGTCACCTAGGCTACTTATTTTACTTTAAAGCAAACCCACACCAAAATGGAATACAGAAACTGCCATTACTGGCTTCCTTCTGAAATGCCAATGCCAATTGCCTAGGTCACACCGAAAAGGGAATATATTAGCTGCACATACTTAATAAGAGAAAGAGAAATCTGCAAAGTGTTGTAAATCATAGCAGCCAATCAGCAGTCAACAATCCCCTGTCCATTTCTAACAGACGGAAATCACATTGCTTTTGGTTATTGTATTTTGGACGTCACCACTGAAATTCCTGATTCTTTATTAAAAGGGAAAAGCGGTGCACTCTAAATAGTATCAGACCCTCAATGTTTGAGTGATGCGCCATTGCAAAGTCAGTAATGGATCTTCAAGCTTCTTTATTAGTCACATACATACGCAATATTCCGGAACTCTTAATGCAGCCCCTTCATCAGGCAACAGTGAGGATCAGTGAGAGTCAACATTTTCCTGATGAAGGGGCTGCATTAAGATCTCCGGAATATTCCCGTATTTATGTGACTCATACAGAAGCTTGAAGGAGTGTATGATGTGCTGGGGATCCGCACTCTTTTTTACACCTGATACTCTGACTTCAGCACTTTCTCAGTCACTGAACTGGAACAGTCACAGCAAAGTCAGAGCTCCTTATTGGCATCATTGATCCGCATCAGTGCTTTGCATGACAGGCAGGTAGTCAGCATTTTCCGAAGGAAAAAGTATGGAATTGGCAAAAGTATGGCATTTGGGATCTCCCGAATGCAATGCGAAAATTTGGATCCCGAATGCCATTCGGGGCTGGGAGCCATATACATATATTACTAAAGCTAAGGCTCCCAGACCTGAATGACATTTGGGATACAAATTTCCGTATTGCATTTGGAAATTCGGATCCCGAATGCCATTTCGGGTCTAGGAGCCTTAGCTTTAGTATTCTATGTATATTCTGAACACAACTTTTCCTTGCGGCATGTGACTTTCCCGGCCAATCAGATGGTCCCATGTTGCTGTAATGAAAATTCATGTTCAGACCTATTCGGATGCATTAAAACAGAAAAGCACATCTGATTGGCCAGAAAAGTTTCATTTTTGAACGAAACATGGTTGGGATCTGAAATTTGGAAACTGAAATTCGTTTCCGGACACATTCGGATGCATTGGGATTGGGAAATTCGCATATGTCCGCATTTTGATTCGGAACGAAAGGAATCACACATGTCTACTACCCAATATACAGCCCAGTTCATAAAAATATACTAATATGCTTTGATGTACAGGTCCACCACATCAGGGCAACCTTTGTTCCTGTTCTCTAGTATGACTACCATGTTTGTGGCAGCATTGCAGGATCATTACTTGTTGATAATACTGAAAGATATTATAAAATATGGCTTTTTATTGACATCTGTAAAACGTAAACTTGGCTTTTTGATGCAAGGGTTTTTGTTACAATACTTTGAATGACTTTGTACTCTATTTTCATCCAATTACAGATACTGAAAAACTCTGCATGTCGATTGACTTTAAAGTGTACCTAACGGTAACGCTAAAATTTTTTGTTTTGGATAATGTAGAGAATAGAAAACCCAACCCAATGGGGAGATTTCCCTTAAAGGAGAACTATGGGGTTAAGTCTTTTCCCCATAGTTCTCCTTAGGGTAACGGGAGGACACAAAGTAGTGTCCTCCCGTCGCCCTAGGCTCAGTATACCGCAAACTGTAGCTCGCGGTTTACTGAGACACCGCAGTATACCTCGAGCGACTGCTCGCAGTATACTGAGACGCTGCAGCTGAAGAGGATCCCGACAATTGTGCCAGGATCCGCCCAGCTGCGTGACTGACAGCTGACTCTGCCTACCTAAAGGCAGAGCCAGCTCTACCCGCCCCCTCCCATTCCGCCAGTCAGCGCTGGCAAATCGGGGAGGGGGGAATCCAGTCCCTCCCCTGTCACGGCAGAGAGCCGTGACAGGATCGGGAGGTGAGCGAACGCCTGTATGTGTTCGCTCACCTCCCGATCTACTGAGCCGACCTGTGACAGTCTCATTGTCACAGGTCACAGGTCGGCTAGAACTATGAGGTGAGTGAAAAGCACTCACCTCATAGTTCTCCTTTAACTTCCTGTTACATAGACACAGGCAGAATTCTCTCCAAAGTGGGTTGTCTATATCTGTTTTTCCCAGTGCAACTTGAAATTTGTAATGGTCTTCACTTTCAGTCCCGGTGGCAGTAGTCACCCAGACACATAGAGAGGGTGAATCTCCCCAGCGAGGATACAGGCAGCTATTTACCACTCCCCAATCTAAACGAAACAACAACAAAAATTGGATTTAGATTCACTTTATATTTCTGCATTCCAATCTCTCTGGTCATATTTCCCCAAGAGTCATGACTTAAGATACAGCAACGTGTGGTATCTATTCCTCGCTGTATAGACTAGAGGTCTCAAAAGCATCATTTTCCTGAGCCATCCTCAAAAATATTGGCCATTTGCTGCAATGGGCTACAATAACAACCTATTGTTACGGCCTCTTTTATAGCTGAACTTTGGGAAAATTAAAAAAAAACTACCCTTGCAGGGGGGACGTTCCATGCACTGCAAGGGTTAAATGCTCATTTTTGCCTACGGTAGCATTAAAAAGCACTTTTACTTATCTGTTCCTCCACACCCCTGGCAGCTGGCGGTCTTCCCCTCCATCCAATGCTCCGGGTTGTGAGCAGGCCCTTAGCATCCTCACTTACAATGATGGACTGCCGGTCCTGCATTGTATGTGATGATATCAGAGTGAATGGACGGAACACCAAAGAGAAGAGTCTTTGGTGGACCAGTCACATGGTCAGAATTCCTGGGGTAGTGGGGGATAAGGGAAGTAAATCTTCCTTTTAATAGCACCCTAGGCCAAAATGAGCCACTAACCATTGCAGTGCGGGGAGAAACCCGACTAAAGGGGTAGTTTTTTACATTTTTCTGGTGTTCAGCTTTTAAGGGATCATAAAGGCTAGTTCACCAGAACCACATGCGTCTGTGCAGCTGCAATGTGATGCCTTGTGCCACGATTTTACCGCAATTGAGGAGATTGCACCAGAAAGCCCATAGGAAAGCATTGCGATGTATTTTGGCAGCAGCAGCAGCTTAACTGAACAGACTCCATCTGGTTTGAACTAGCCCTAAAATGGGATTGTAGGTGTGTTTCAGTGCGTTTTGAGTGTGTTCCCTTGCGAAATAGAGCAAGCAGTATTTTTTCTGACTGCATCGGAAATGACTGCACTGGTGGGAACAGAGCACCAGAAATCCCATAGGAAAGCATTGTGAAGCATTTTAGATGCAGCTGCCAAACTGAATGGACTGCATCACAAATGCATCTGGTGTGAACTAGCCCTTAGGCCTCATTCACACCAGACACAGTGCGTTCTGGCCCAATTCTGGTCAGAATGCACTGCATCGCATTGCGGCCGGCTCACACTATGTTGTGGGTCAGGAGGGGGCGTGGCGGTCCATTGAAGTGAATTGCACCATAGCCCTCCGGCCACAATGCGATCAGCTGCACGGGAACGCAAGGCACATTATGCCTGCGGTCTGGTCTGAACAAAATAGTGCTTGCAGCATTTCATCTTTTTGTTTTTTTACAATCTAAAGGCTTCCACATAACACTTCTCCTATTTATTATATTACAATCTTTATATGTAAGGACACTGCAGAGGACCTTTTGTTCAGGAGCCCTGAGACAGTCGTAAATTGTGTTCCTTCAAAGTCTTTTTCAGTGCTTTGGATGCAATATGCTTACATTGCTTTCAAGCCAGATAGTAATATCATTATAATGATTCATAAAAAGCACACACCCATCACTTCTTACAGTCAATGCAAATTTGAGTTATAATATTACTGGAATGTTTTCAAATCCTTTCTGAACGAAGGACAGTTCGGTTTTGTAAACATCTTATGTAAAGGAATGTATTTAATTGTGGTTTTCTGTGCATATTGTATTTATCTGATCTGCAGAGTGACATGTTCTCAGCAGTGCAGCGATGCATTTGGCATTTTCTGTGTAAAATGTAATGCAGTTTTGTAATGACTTAATTGGATCAGTAAAGCTGCATTAAATAGACTCAAAGATTATACAGTACAGGTGCCTTTTTTAGATGTATTTGGGCATTACAAAGACTGGCAACTGTATTACATGTAACAAGCATATGATAAGAAGACTTAAAGGAGTTGTAAAGTCCCAGCATATCCTCTCCTGTTACAACATCAGCATTGTAATAGGAATACATACTAGACTTGTTTTGCATATTGCAATCAAAGCTTAAATTTAAAAAAATCCCTTTTATGTAGCGAGCGCTGCTTTCCGTCTGCCCATCACTTTCATCAATTTCCTAGATTCCCAGTGTGCTTTGCGTCTCTTTCCCTGCTGCTTGGTGTGATGCATTCTCTATTTCTCGAGACTACATATCCCATCA